AGCTAACATAAGACACGTGTTTTAAGTGAAGTGTTATTGTTTTTTATGAAAGACTCGCACATTAAATAGAAAGTAAATAGTTACGAGAGAAGATTATGTTGAAACATAAATTATTTGAAACTGTGTTTTTTCTTTGTGTTACCGTTCACTAATTTTAAATTATAGAGATTTCATTTTTAAAAACAGATCACTTTTGAGTATTTTATAAGTAAATAAATCTAAAATATTACAAATAACTCAATTTTAATATCTTTATTGCTATTTCATTTTATTTGGTGTAAATTTTTTATTTGAATAAAGACAAATAGCCATAAACTTACATATTTTGCAATAATAAAAGTACATTCACATTTATATCTTATAACTAAAGTTAAAATTTAATTAAGAAGTGAATGACATTATCAGCTTTTTTAATATACCAGTTTTAATTAAGCTTAAGTAAATTTAATTTTAAGTAAATTTAAGAAAAATCTTATATATATATATATATATATATCTAAAAAGAACCTGCTACTGTAGCTTCTTTAGATTTCGACAGTGAATTTCTGTGCATCTGGATAATGTTCTTGTGCTTAAGGGAGCGCAAGAGACAAGCAATAAGGTACGTTAAAGTAGAAGAAAGAAAGAATAATGGCGTGAGGAATATTCGAAACATAGATAAGGAGGGGGAATACTTGTCGACATAAAACGTGCAGTTACGAGCAAAAGATAGGAATTGAAGAAAAAGAAAGAGAGAGAGACCATAGAGAAGGACCATAGAAGATCTGAAAATAAAATTTGTTTATCTCAAGGCAATGCTATTTCGGAAACCGCGTAAGATTCTCGCGATTGCAACGAACAAATGTTCTGTAGTTTATGTACAAATGAGCTGTAAAATTCGTTATATGCTGCCCGTTAATTTTATATATAAACGTGATCATCTGCTTTACTTTTCTTTATATCTTAAAATACGAGACTTTAAATAGAAATTTATGTTAATATTTTTGACACAAATTTATCTTGATTATTAAATAAATTAATTATAAAACAAAAGCATAAACTAGGAAAAATTATTTAAATGTTTATTTAAAATGTTTGTAAATAATCATTTTTATTGTAATAATTACATTAATTCTAATTAAAACAATAAAATTATACAAATTTCTATATCAGAGAAATAAAATTAATTTTTTTTAAAATATAAATCATTTTTCGAACATAAAAATAAAAAAAATTAATACAATAATATATTTTATTATTATTTAAGTATATACAAAATTTACGTTTTATAAATTTTAAACAACTTAGATTTTATGTATAAAATATATTATATACATATCTAAAAAAATAATTAATGGAAGTGCAAATAAATGAAATTTTAAATATCTGTTTTGAAATAGCAATATTCTTTTATTACAAATTTAACTTATTCATTCTGTATCTTTTGAAATGTTCTAATTTTTTATATTATATATACTTGTTATATTAATATCCGATATAAAATAGAAAGTAATTTGTGAAAAAAATATATTTAATTTTATTCTTGTAATGGCAGACAAATACCATGTTTACTGGTGATAAGGCACTGCGAATGGAGGGTTTGAAAGATTCGACATAGATTTATACTTTAGATAGTTTACTGTTTACGTGGTGTGTAGTATACCAACATCTCTTTATTCAATATTTTAGTATTCAGATTCTAAAAGCTGTAGGAAGGTTGCCCACGATGTACATAAAACTTCCGACCACCTCTTGACTTCTGGAAAAAGTTTTCAGCACCTTGCCACCAGTTACGCATAGTGTAGATTTTTCAAAATTTTTTTATCAAAAAAAATTTATCTTACTGTCCGCTGTTTATTTTAAGTTTTTCTTTAAATAAATATAATAATAAAATACAATATTATTTCTAAAATAAGGCTAAAATATGAATGTAAAAGTTTTATGATCTATTCTATTCAAGTATTTAATTGCAGAAAAATAGTTTACAAAAATATACTTATTTTGCATAGAGTGTTTTTGGAATGTTCTTGAATACATCAATCTTATTAATATGTGAAAATCTAAATTAGAATTACCATAAACAAAATTGCAAGAAGTTTAACAATATATTATCAAAAACTAATTTTTTCGAAATTGATTTATTTTATGATAATTATATAATCTATTTCTAAAAATCAAAATATTTGTAAATTTAATCACATTAACTATAACATTAATTAAAAATGATACTAATCTTAACAATCTTTGTTAATTTTGTTAATAAATAATATTTGTTCAAAAAATTGATGCTAAATAAGATAGAAATAAAATTGTGTCTGTAAATTTGATTGAACTAGATTTAATCAACACATATTTTAGCACAATAAATAAAAAACATTAATTTATCAAAGGATCTTATTTTCGTTTTTCTTATTTTAATTAAAAATGACATTTTTTAAGAAATTATTGTATCACATAAATGTCAATACTAACAAAACTTGTTAACATGTTTGATAATTATCATTCAATATTTTTAATGATTATATTTACTTTGTTTTTTTTTTTAGAATGCATTACCATGATTCAAACAAATAGTATATGAAGACATTGCATACCTACGGCCATTTTGACGCTTTATAATTTTGATATAAGTAATCCGTATTGTCAGCTTATAATTTAACACGAACAATTATTCATTATAAACTCTTAAATTTTGTATGAATCATATTACGTGAATTTAAATTATTTTAATTTATTTCATAAACTTAATTTTTCTATTCTTAATAAACAAATGACACATAAATATTTAATTCTAACTTTAGAAGTTTAAAATGATATACTTATATTATCCTTGATATTTCAACACTAATACTTATTAAAAAGTTATTTAATTTTTTTATCATTTTTCTATTTTGTTAAGTAATTATTATTTTGGGCATTTTATGTATTGTAATATTTTCTACATAATAAATAGTTAAAAAAAAGTATTTTATTTATTTCATAAAATTTTATTTATATGTATCAATATAATTTTCTTTGAATAATTTTAAATTATTTATATTTATTACTTTGACTTAGTCTTATATTTAGTTTTACATATAAATGCGAGACTGATTACTTCTAATTCTAACTACTCTAACACTGTAAAGACTGAAAACATGGGGGCTAAGGTATATAAAAGTTATATGTAGTTGATGATAATTTGGAATAAAATGTTTATGCATATACTATACCTTAATTAAACTAAAATCCAAAAAGATTGTCAAGTCAACATTTTTATCATTATTTTGTATTTATTGTTATTTATTATTGTCAATTATACCTTAAAGTGTAATTTTCTTAATTGAAATAGTTAAATTTAATTCACTATTCAATATTCAAATTTAATATTCACTTTTGAATTTTTATATTAAAAATATTTCATTTATATTTACTATATGTATTTAAAAATTTGTATTTATATTTCATAAAGTTAGAGTATAAAATATCATGGTTATTGTTAACAAATATGTACATGTGTGTGTGTGTGTGTGTGTATCTCCCCCCTCCCTGCGCCCATTGGCCGTTCGACTCGCGAGGGGGCCGTGACTTTTAGCCTCTCTCTCTTACAATCTCTCTCTCTCTCTCTCTCTCTCTCTCTCTTTCTCTCTCTCTCTGTATGTGTATATATGTATATATGTTTTTTACGAAAATAGAAGAATAGTGAAAGTATATGTAAAAATATTATATTTATTATTTTAATATTTATATTAATAAATTCAATGCAAGAAAGAATTTAATTATTTATTTATAATTAAAAATACAGTTTATGCCATTTTTAGTTAAAGGATTAACATAAGGAATATAGCAATAAGATATATTTGTTTTATTATGAATAATAATTTAATCAATTCTTATGAACTTAATTGATACATTACACTTAAATTCGCTTTAAAAGTATGCGACACAATATTGATTAATGCTTGATGGTAATGCACCTATATTTTATGTCTCAATATCAATATCGGGTGGCATTTCTCTTTTTTATACAGAAAAATAAATTATGCATATTATATATTAAATATATTATTTGAGACCAGTTGGATGACGGTCTATATATAATCTCATTTATTCACTTTCACGATTAAAAATGACATTAGAAAGGAATAAGTTAAAATAAAATAATGATAATGGAGGTGTTAATTAGCATGATTGTAATAATTCTAATAAATATTTATAAAATTATGGTGGTTCAATATACATACGTAAAATAAGTTATGAGGCTTCTAATAGGTCCTTTTCTGATTAAAATTCATACAACTTAAATATATAACAAACTTTGCTTCGCGAGCGACGATTATATTATCACATTTTATTTATCGTACATCGATGCTGCATAATATTTATTTCAACAACTTCGCTTACTGTCTTTATAAAGCTTGAGACTAGATAAGAAAGGCGAGGAAGATGCAGAAGGTCTAACTTTTTTTCTTCATAGCACACTGTTTACTAAGCGCTTATAAAGAAAAAAGAAAAAAGAAAAAGTAAAACTTCGGCTAATGAAGTTAAATATATAAGAAAATTGTTTCTTAATAAATTCAGAAGTATTCGCATGGTTTACGATTATATTTTAATAATTATAAATATTATGCTCGTGAAACAAAACTCAAAGAGAAGTTCTAAAATGACTAGACTTGGCACTCGTCGAATCTTATTTGCCGTTGAATTATGTAATTCATACACTCGGTACCTTTACGATTATATTCCTAATTATAAGAAATCTAGTTAACATACAATGCTTTTTATCTTCTTCATCTATCTATCTTTTATAATTACATTTTATCGATTCTTTATACAAGGAACATGTAAAGGATTTTTTTTTGAAGGACGAGCTTCGCGACATTAGCCCTAGTTTTTCAAGTTTATTATTATTAAAATTTATTATATTTTATTTTCTATTATTCTTTCTTTTTTGACAAAAAATCGAGAGGTACATATACTCTAACCACACATAAAACAATAGAAAATATATATTTATACGTATATAGATATATATATATATATTTTAATAATCGGAAGAATAGTACACGAACAGAATTCATAATACTCATGGAAATGCTTATTAAAATAATTATAAATTTAACTTATTTAAACAGTTTCTTCGCATTGAGCCAGATTCGGAAGAAATACTCATCCTTTCGGAGAAGTCGTGCTCTGGCATAAGAATGGATGTCTGCATCCATGTTGTGATCGCGAAGCCAAGAACTCGTATTTTCTGTACTAAAGCTTAGGGATGTTGTTTCTCCTCGATCTGGTACCTCAGCGACTGGTTCTATGACTGCCAAGTCTATAAAAAATATTGTATTAATAATTTTAGATTAATACTTTATTTTTAATTATTTAAATTTATTAATATAATTATTACAATTCTAGTAAAATTATTGTTGCATAATCTATATACGTTGTAAGCTAAATAAAAGTTTCGAAATTTTATAATACATAAAAAAATTGTATATTTTGTAGTTGTTTTTATAAAAAATATAACCAAATTAATTTGAATTCGGCAATATAAAAATAATAATTTTAATATGAAAATTAATTTTTTATATGTTAATGAAATTGTATAAATATATTCGAACATTTATTATTTTCTTTTTTTACACATATTAAGAACAAATTAGAATAATATCATATGTATTAAATACCTGATGCAGGTAAAATCTTAAAAGGCTCTTCAGACTCTAATGGTTCACTACAACCAATTTCATTTTTTGCATAGATTCTAAAAAGATATTCATGATTCTCCTGTAAGTCCCTGATAGTCAGCTTTTGTATGCCGGCATTTACTCGACCAACTTCCATCCACATCGTCTTCTTCACATCTCTCACGGCAATTTTGTAAGCCTCAAGCGGAGCACCACCATCGAATTCGGGTCTTCCCCATTCCATTGCAATTGTATTGCCAGCTATTTGTCTTATTTCCAAAGGTGCTGTTGGTGGCGATGGTACTGCTAAAATATCAATACAGGATATATTACTTTCCATTAACTGACTAATTTAAGATTTATTCTTTAATATTTTCCTTTTATTTTATTTAATAATTTTTATGTATTTAATATATTATAATATATTAATTTTTTTTTTAATATGATTTTAATACCATTCCAATATTTTTATAATAATCCATTTTTATTTAAAGCGGTAAGAGAAATCGTTATCTTACTAGCATGTGATTTCAGAAGAACAGGCTCTGACGTCGTGGCTGCACTTAAACCTATATTATTTTCAGCGAATACTCTAAATAAAAATTCATTTTCTTTTAAATTTTCGATAACATGAGAATTTATTGTTCCATCTAAAGTAACAACTTTAGTCCATTTTGATCCTTTTCCAGTTAAAGGCCTTTTTTCAATTATATATCCTAAAAAAAAATTTAAATAGTTTTATATTATAAAATAAAAATGATCTTGATTAATTTTTTTATATAAAATTTACCTGTAAGATCAGCCCCTCCTGTACTCGTTGGTGGTGACCAATTTAACGTTACGCTTCGAGTTGTAATATTGGTAACATGGACATTTGTTGGTGGTGACGGTGGTGCTAAATTAAAAAATAATTATTTCAGAAAATTAATGACTATCTGATTATATCTATCTATCTATCTATCTAAAATAATTCAAAGTTTGGGTGATTAGCCATACTTACTTTTATAATTAATAATTTTTGTTTCGGGAAAGCTTCCGAGTAAAGCATATATTCTACTTTCAGAAATTTTTGTTATTTCTAAGCATTATTTAAGCAAAAAGCGTTTTATATTATAATTTAGAATATGCACAACAATGAAACATGTTATTATAGTTTTGAAAACAAAAATTATTCAAATAATAATTTATTCAAATACTTACTTAATATTTTACCGGAGGTAATAGGCTCCTTAGATACAAAAGGTAATCCTAGACCTATTTTATTTTTTGCAGTTATTCTAAAGTCATATGGAGTATCAGTGATTAAATCTGACACTCCAACATGTGTTATATCTCCCTTTGTTGTCCCTACCTAAAATATAATAATATTATTTTTTTTAGTACTTTTTAAAAATATTTTTATTAAGATGTCCCTCTTATTTTTTATACTTAATTAGTGTAAATTAGTTTCATATACCTTCTTCCATGATTTCATTGAAGTTTCTTTCATTTCAATGATGTATTCAGTAATTGGTGATCCTCCATCATCTTCAGGTGTTTCCCATTTAATGGTAAATGAAGTTGCGGTCATTCCTGAAATTTCTAATGGACCTCTTGGTGAACCAGGTTCATTTTGAGGTAATTGTGATGCATCCATAATTTTTATTAATTTTGAATTTGTTGAAGGTTCACTCGGTCCGATTAAATTGACGGCTATTATTCGAAATACATATTCTCTACCAGTTATTAATTTATTTACAGTATGTTCAGTTGTTGTTATTATTTCCAATACTTTAGTCCAACTATAAATTAATTTTTTAATAAAACATGTTAATATAATAAAAAATTTATAAGTATAATATTGCTATTTATAAATAAATATCATACGTTATTGCCTCCTTTTCACGATATTCCAAAATATATTCTATAATTGGTGAATTGCCATCAAATTCTGGCTCATTCCATTGTAATGTTACGCTATCGTTTGTTACGTCAATAGCTTCAGGAGTATCGGGAGCATTTGGAATTTCTATATCCGATAATAAATAATTATACTTTATAAAATATTAGCGCAATAAATTATGTACTAACTAATTCATTGCTTACTAAATTACATTTATTTATAACTGAAGTATAAAAGTAAAAAATGAAAAACATAATCATTATTCATAGTAAATTGTTTTATTAATTCATCGCCACCAAAAACAGTTTTTAAATTATAAATAACTTAAATCAATACAATTATCTTTATAATGTTAAGATGAAATAATAAAAATGATATATGAATATATATAAATAATTGAAAGCTATTATTAATAATACCAAATTTTTTATGTAAAATATAATTAAAAACATATTAAAATATATTAAACTTCTAGATTGTTTAAAATATTTACTTACGCATGACAATGAGCTTAATATTTATAGTGGCATCTCCATGTACATTAGTAACTTTCAAAGTGTAATCTCCAATGTCTGATTTTTGTACTTTCCTTATAGTTAATGCAGCAAATTCATCATTTAGAGTTTGAATAATACGTTTTGATTTTTGAATTAAGTTGCCATTAACAGTCCACTCATCTGTTGGTTTTGGTGCAGCAGTAAAGTTTACATTCATTTCTATATCATCACCAGCCTTAACTCTGTATATATTTGGTGAATTCATACTGATTATCGGCGGTGCTTCTATAACTATAGATTAATAAACAGTTTTTAATTTATATATTTATATAATTTAAAAATATATAAAACTTTTAAAAATTAAAGTTTTTATTTTATATAAGTTTTAATACCTTTAACTTTCAATTTTGAAGAACATTTGACATTAGTAGCAGTGACACTGTATTCTAAAGCATCTTCTATGGTACAATTTTTTACGATTAATTTTTTTTTAAATCTTTCATCTATTATTGTATACTTTGGTGAATCGTGAATTTCTTGTCCTTTTCTAAAATTTGACCAATTTAAATATTAAATAATAAAAAATGATTAAATTGTATGTATTAAAAAATTGTAATTTTAAATTTTAACCTTAACCACGTAACAGGAATATCTGGTTTGGATAATTGTATTTCAAATATAGCATCTTCATTCAGTGAAATTAATGTTACTTCAGGCAAACGTTTAACAAATTCCACTTCAGGTTCTTCAATCGTTAATTTTGCAATAGAAATTTGTTTGCCAACGCGACATGAATAAATTCCTTCATCATCTAGTTCTGAATTATAAATTTTTAGTTTTTGTCGTTTACCATCTATAGAAAGTTGAATATGTTCTGAAAATTTAAGTTCTTGATCGTCCTTAAACCATTGTACTAGAGCATCACCTTTTGTTAATTCAATTTCAAATATGGCTTTTTCACCCTTTACTATTGTGACATTTTGCATTTTTGTGATAATTTCAGGAGGTAATTCTGTAATATGAAATTATTAATAACATAGTATTTTATCAAATGATATATTTTCTAATATATATTGTTAACTAATTTCAAAATTCTTTTGACTCCTAAGAAGATAGTAAAAAGTCAGTTTTCAATTATTTTTAATGGTAATTATCCTGAGATAATAAATATAATTAATTATAATATATTTTATTAACTCTACTAATTTCTAATTAAAAAATCAGTACAAATATATTAAAAATACGTCGCATAATATATGTTTAATATATCGTTAATGTTATCGAAAATAGAAAGTAAAATATATATAAAAAAAAAGTATTTTTTTGCACTTTTTTTTTAAGTATCTGATTTTTTCTTTACTTTTACTTATAACACTTTACAAAAATTGATTCTTACAAAGAATATTATAAACACTTTACGTTTTTTCAGTACTATAAAAATAAATTTTATATAGAAAATAATAAAATCAATAAAAATAAAATAAGTATTTTCAAATAATACATTATTTTTATGAATTATAATCGTATAACTTTTGTATAACTATAAATAGCAATGAGTGGTCATGTATGTGTGTATGCGTATGCAAGCGTATGAATAATAAACTTTAAATTTATAGAATATATTCAAGAATAAATATATATATTTAAAAAAAAGTAATTTAATGAAATGTTTTCTATTTTTAATGTCAAATTTTAATTGAATAATTTAAAAATGAGTTTTCAGTATTTTCATAATTAGAAGCATATTTATTTTTAAATGATTATTGTATCAACTTAGTATATTTCTTACCAACAACGGTAACTTCTGCTGTACATTTTTGATCACTTAAGAAACATGTATATTCTCCTTCATCTTGAATAGAAGATGATCTTATTAATAGCTTTCTAACGGTTCCTTCTTTAATAAATTCTAGCTTTTCAGAAGATGGAAATAATTCTATGCCATCTTTAAACCATGACACATCAGCAGTTTGAGACGTTATTTCAACTTCAAGAATAGCTGAATTTCTTTCTATAACTTCGAAATCTTGCAGTTTTTTCACAAATTCAGGTTTTGTAGCTGCAAAAAAATCTTGGTTAATAATTAAGTTTATTACGTAAAAGTATTTGAAATTATTTATCATTATTTTACCATTGACTTTAACATTGCAAAACGTTGTTTGATTTTTCACTATGCATTTATAGTTTCCTTCGTCACCTTGAGTAACGCGTTTAATAACAAGTTTATGAATTTTTCCTTCTTCTATGACTTCACGATGATCCATACCGCTAATTTCTTTATCATTGTGCCACCATGTTGTAGACACTGTATGTGATGTTTCACAAATTAGTTCCAAAGACTTGTATTCGTCAATAGTCTTTCTTTTTTCAAGTTTCTTTATAAATATAACTTTATCCACATCTACAGTGACTTTAGCTCCATGAGATGTTTTTCCAACTGGATTTATAGCTACACATTTATAATCTCCTGCATCCGTTTCAGAGTTAGCATTTCTTATCTCCAGTACAATATTTTCCCCATCGTAAATTTCAGTTACATCCGATGATTTTTCCAAAGGTCTGTTATTTCTATAATATAAAAAATATAATTATTATTTTTATTTATTGTTTTACTAATTTATTATTTAAATATATTTTAATGATAAAAAGTATTATGTTTAAAAATATTATAAATATTATTACTACTTATAAAATATAAAATTTTAAAAAGAATTGTAATTAGGTTGTCGAAATGTAAATAATCATTATAGTTACTACTTTAATAATTTAGGTATAATAATATGCATTTTAAATATTAAATCAGTACATTGTTAATTTTATGTCACAGTAATTACATAAATTTAGAATGCCATTATGTCATTTCATTAAATTCTATCATAATTATTTTAATTCTTTGTAAACTATTAAATAAGTTATTTATATAATCTTTACCTTAACCATGTGACCTCTGGTATAGGGTTTCCTGTAACTTTTGCTACAAGTTTAAAGTTACCTCTTTCTGGAACTGTTAATTCTTGGAACCTTTCAGTGAATAAAGGTGGTTCTGGAGCTCCACTTGGTATTTCTATACAAATGAAATAGATTTATTTGTTAATATTTCTTAATTAGATATGTTAATGCACATAATTAATTAATGTAAACGAGAATTATTATATCACAATATGAAAATCAATTTTTTACATTAAGCATTTATTACAAATAAAAAGTTTAGTTTAGAAGATTTTCCACAGTATTTATTGATTTATTTTTAAGGCATTCATTTTAATTTAACTATTATAAAAATGATAAGTAATTTTTAATTCAAATAAGTCATATGTAAAAAGTTATCTTAATAATATATAATAAAAATATTCGTGCATAAAATTAAATATATTATTCATTTGTTAATAAAAGAATGTTTCAGAGATATATTTATCGTAATAATTCAAATAAATAGTCAAACATGTGTTAATAATTTTGTCAAAAAAACTTTATCAACCATATTAAAAACAATTTTCTTTATATATATTCGTTGCTTAATATTTTTGTATATAAAAAAACTGCTGTAATATGGAAAAAAAAATTTGTATTCTGCTAGTTTTGATAAAAATTTGTAAACCTAACTGAATATTATAAATTAAATATATTATTGATTTTATTATAGTTACATTAACTTACAATAAGTTAGTCATACAAAATTAATTTTTTATGGTCTGAAAATATCTATTATATATTGAAATGTAAGTTAGATTCATATCTGTCCTATGATTTCGGTATTGTTTATAAATGTTATCATTATTATGTTTGCAATAATATGTATAATATCGCTAATTATTTTATGAATTTACTGGTATTTCTTTCGAAATTAATTATCATTATGAAACTTAAATTTAATTTATAAAGTTTATGAAATTTTTTAAATATTAACTAGAGTTTAAATTTTTGAATAGATTGTTATATTTTATGAAATTATATAATTTTAATGCAACGTATATTATTTGAAATTGAGATTGTTTATAGATTCAGTACCATTTATAAAGCTTTACAATTTATAAAAAGCGTTTTTAATATAAATATTCTTTAATATTAAATTATCGAAAATAATTGCAAATAACGATAACAAATTAATACAATAATTAATATAATATAGCTACTTAATATATTAAATTTCTACAATAAACTGGTTAATAAGTAATGTTAAATAAAGTGTGTTATTGGAATTATTCAATAGAATTATCATTAATTGAAAAAATATAATCAAATACCCTTCCATGGAAGAAGCATAGTACACTCTTCTTTTGTTAATTCTATCGTAAAAGCAAATTCAGTGTATAATATTTCAGCAGCTGCAATACATTTTAAAGCGCAATTTTCGATATTAATTTCAAGCCGATTATTTGTCGAAAAAGCAGCAATTGAAGATTAAAATGACTTGCATTGTATTTATGATAAATATTCAATTGAAATAAATATTATTAATATATATAGTAGGTAATGTTCATTTTTTAATAAATAAAGATAGGTTTATACAAAGTACCTTCCACAGTAAGTGTAGCTTTAGTCTCTGCTGTTCCTAGTTCATTCTTAGCTACAACAGAATACTCTCCAGAATCTGAAATTACTGATTGAATAAAAGTTAATGTATTTAAATTTCCATCTTTTTTAGGTATCATTTCACAAAGTGGTTGTCCATTTTTTAACCATGAAATTAATGGTTGTGGATTTCCAACAATATGAGTTGAAAGCACTACTGTATCTCCTTCTCTCACAGCAAAAGGTTTCAAAGGTTCCAATATTTCTGGTGGTTCTTTGTTAGTAGTCTGAACCTGCATATAGATAATTTATTTATTATTATTATTACAATTAATTATGAAGTAATTTGCTTCGGTATACATATGTAATAAATTTTTTAATTTATATTGTTATCATTATTTATACCTTAAGAGGAATTTCAATAGTAGCTTCTCCCTCTCTATTTTTTGCAACTATTGTATACTTTCCTTCTTGTGTTTTTAATACTTTTGTAATTTTCATAATACTGCAATACATATGCATGTCACTTTCTGTTGTAATAATCATATTTTCTTGATTACTTAATTTTTTATTATTATAGAGCCATGTAATTTCTGGTTCTGGTACTGCAACAAGTCGACATTCTAGAATAACATTATCTCCTTCTTGTACACATTTAGCTTTTGGCTGTCGAGAGAACGTAGGTGGTATCCCTTCTAATATATCCGCTAAAGAAGATTCTCTGTAAAATAAGTATTAAAAGCAAATAGTAATTATTGTGCTAATTAAAATAGTTCTTAAATTATAATAATTACAACAAGAATAATAAGAATAATAATACATTAATTAAATAAAAATCTATTATTTATGGTATTTTTAATCTTATTCGCATTAAAAGATTTTTATAATTATTGTTTTACATTTAATTATCAAAAATCATTTTAAGTATGTAAAAGTAACATAAAAGTAAATAAAAATATTAAGAAATCAACATCAAACAAACATCTCTCTCTGCACATTTTATTTGAATGATTATAATTATTAGTAATTTCTTATACAGAATAAGCAAATATAAATTTATAATTGTTGGTGTTACAATTTTTAGTTTTATGCAAAAATTTTATATATAAGAGTAATTTTATACAATAAAGATATTAGTTTATTTATTCATTAATAGAAAGATATTAATAGAAAGTATTGAAACATTTATATTTCTAATTATATAATATTTATTTATTGAATTGAAAATTAATACGTTTAAATGTAAACAATTAAAGTATAAAAATGTTTTTTAATTACAAATCTTTACTTATAATTAATTTATAATAAGGAATTAAATTGCACCTGGACAAGCTTTTTCTTGAAAGTATAGTTACATCTGAGCCATGGTCGGATCCAGGTATTTCGACTATCAATTCTGTAGTGCTTGAAGCAAATCCGACAGTATTCTTTGCTACACAAGTAAAAGTTCCTGCATCTTCAGGAAAAACTTCTTTAATAATTAATGTTGCTACATTATCGTCATCATAAAACATTTGAAAATCCGGTGATGGTTTAATGATTGCAGTTTGTCGGAACCAAGTAATTTGTGGTCTTGGAACTCCTTTGACTTGACATTCGAATTGCACTGTATAACCATCAGGTGTATGTATTGGTTGTAATTTTTCTATAAATCGCGGAGCAGAAGTTTCGTCACCAATTGCAGGTTCTAGATAAAATTTAAAATAAAATTAATGAAACAATATTTTACGTATATATGATACAATCATTATAAATGATATATACTCTTACTTTCAAATACAGGTAATTTATCAATTTTTTCATGAAGTTTTCGTTGTAAGTATAAAGAATATTGTATTTCATCAAGGAGGTATTGTGCAGGAACCCATCCCTTTTCTTGAGTTAGATTTTTTTTTACAAACCACCAGTCAGAATTAGTGTGTTCTTCAAAATACAATAAAATTATGTTAGATAATATATATATTACAGAATTAAATTAATTTTTTATAATTAATAATACAACGGTACGCACCTGGCGCCCGCGCACCACACACACACACACACACACACACACACACACACACACACACACACACACACACACATTCGCACACACACATTCGCACACATTCGCACACATATACCTTCCCTCACATATAAATGTGTCTGTAAAAATAAATAATTTTAACTTACCAATTACAAGGACTTTTTCGCCTTCAATCAAATTAATGGCTTCATTCGTTTCTGCTACATATGAACAAACAGAATACATTGTATCGCCATCTTGAACAATATATTCTAAATTAAAATAAAAATATATAATCAGTGTTATATTCACATCGGTTGTAGGATAGTTATATATATTTATCAGCAGTAATGTATTACCTTCTTCAGAAATATTATCTTCTTTTAATAAGCTCAGGGTCGCTTCTCCTATAAATAAACATTAAAATGGAATAAAAATAAGAATTTCTATATATACATAATTAGATTAATTTTTCCACTTTACCGATATGCTTTTCTAATGCAGCAATATAATAAAATGAAATGTGTGAAAAGGTTTACAATAACAAGGAGTTAAGGGCAAGAGTACTTACTATTTTAAAAAGATGCTTGAAAAATATTAAATAAAGCATTCTAAAAGCAGCACATAATATATGATGAAAAGCTGAATACAGAAATTTATTTTCGAACCTTCTTCAAGTGTAGAAACTCGTCGTTTAGGTTTTAACTTTATCTCTATTGATTCATCTGTATTCTCACACAAATACTTTTGATTTGATTTTAGCGGTAACCGAACATCATCTTCTATGTCTTCTATTGCATATGATTGACATTTGTCCACAGATTTTCGTTTCAATGGTAAATTCAATTCATTAGTTTCATGTTCTTTTATACTATATTCATCTTCTGATTCATCAATAATTTCTTCCACAACAGGTACAGAATTATCAAATTCTTGAATAATTTGTATGGTTTCTTCGCCAGCTTCTTCTGAATATGTCGGTTTCTTTTTTCTAGGTTTTATTTTAACTTTTCCAGACAACGAAATGTTTTCTTCTTCATAGGTATTAAGTGAAATTTTAAATTCTTGTTCAACCTCTTCTTTAGTTGTTATTTTGCGTGGTTTAAATGTCACAGTTTCTGTTTCAGTAACTTCTGGTAAATCCGAACGAGGTTTCTTTCGCGATCTAAGTTTTTTAATGGTAACATCTTCATAAATTTCTTCAATTGGCTTTGGCAGCATTTTTGGTGGTTTTCGTTTTAAAGTATATTCTTCAACATTATCTGTCACATCTTCTAATGGTATGGGCTTTTTAATTGTTAATTCTTCCACAGTTTCATCAACCTTAACTTTTTTTTTTGGCTTCTTCTTAACGGGCATAGAAGTTTCAACATCTTCCGGTTGTTTAACTTGATCAAGTTCTACTTGTTTATGAATCGTAACTTCTTCTGGTGTTTCGTCAATACTTGGTTTCTTCTTGGGTTTCGGTTTTATTGCAACCTCTTCTATAATTTCTTCATCTACTATTTCTTTTTTTAATGGAATTAGTTTTTGAATCGTTATCTCATCCGCAGAATCATCGGCAACAATATTTTCTTTCTTCTTTAATGGCAGTTCAACTACGACATCTTCAGATTTTGGAACCGTCGTGTCATCCTCTTTTGGTTTCGTTACTGTTATTTCCTCAACAAATTCATCAATACTTGGCTTCTTTTCAGGTCTCCGTTTAATACGAACATCATCGATAATTTCCTTTTCC